TAAAGACTGAAATCTCCATTAGAGAGAGAGAACCTAAGTTGGAGGTAATGTTTTTTCTTTTCTCCACACAGTTTAACAATATCTCTGGACTTCATAACTAGTTTGAATGTCCCAGGCAATTTTTCTTTAGCTATACAAAAACCACTGGGTCAGGGTGGTTAGAAGATATGCATAGTGTAGAAATCTAGCTTTGTGCTTTAAAACAGAAAGGTACGGCAGCGTTGGAGGGACACCTTCAGTATGCCTGCCACATGCAAGGATTTCCAGTTTGCAGTCAGTCCGTTCTGATTGATTTATATGCCAGGCTCCAATGAAGTAATGGTTTAGAGCTTAATTTATCATCATCTTCAGGGAATCTGGAAATTGACCTGAAATATAACCTGAGATGTGTGTAAATACTGACTCTAAACTGTAACTTTTGGAGGTTTTTGTTTACACTTCTTTAAAGAGGAAGATCTTTGGAAAAGCCTCTTTAGGCCTGAATTCTGATTTTCCCCTGTTTTCTGCATATCAGGAAGTGAGATGATCTCGCTACATTGTGGTTTGCTTTGGGAATTTTTCATTTAAATATGATCTTTGGATTCTGATTTTAGAGTTTGTTTTTTTTTTTTTCTTCTGAAAGAAGCTGTCTTTCTGTTGCCCTTCAGAAAGGGTGATCTGTTACAGAAATCCCAGCTGGTAAGAGTGTGGGAGAAGTCCTCCAATCTAGTAAAGATTTTTTTTGTAACACTGCTTGCCTAAGTTGTTTTTTGGTTTGTTTTTTTTTTTAACAAGCAGTAATTTTAAAGAAATGTAAGAAGAGAAGACTGTTCGTCTTCATTCACCAGCATTAAGCAAGATTCTCAAACATACACAGTAACACATTTCCTTTCCGTAGACTCCATTACCACTTCAGATGTGTTTACTCTTAGTTTTTCTTTCCCTTTTTTTTCTTTTTTTTTTTTCCTTTAATCCCAAATTGTGTTTTTGCAAATTCAACATATTCTGAAATGCTGTTTTTGCTTCATAAAACTGTGTTCTGTTATCCTGGCTTTCATTTTAAAATTAAAAATATAGCACACCCCTGCCTCCCTAAAAAAAAAAAAAAAAAAAAGAGGCACTAAAAGCAAACCAGCACTTGTACCTTAACCTTTTTTGCTGGAAAAGATGGGGAATACAGACAGAATAGCCTACTTGGGTGTTAGCTGTCTGAATTTACAGAAAACCTGAACCGAAACCTTTCAGAACAGTGATGAGCTGCCCATTCCATGTGGCCTGGGCCATGTGGAACCTCAGGTTGTCTTTCCAGAGTGCTATGGAATGCCTGTTACTTTGCTGCAGTCAGATACTTGACATTTTGGCAGTTTATTGCAATACACAGTAAGAAGACAAACACACAAATTTGTGGAATTTGTTACGTCAATCTGGGGAAATAATTGGGATCTTGTACATTGTCTTTTGGTGTACATTGTGGGCGGATTCATACTTCATATAATTAATCTAAATATTTTATTCCAGATACCACAGCCTGAAATGTCGCGTTCTAGTTAGTGATTTTTCACAGTTGTTGGTGCAAATTTAGCCTTTAAAAGCTTAGTCAAAATGTAATTGTAGTTACTTGTTATATATGCACTTACAGTCAGAGCTTCCAGCTCATTTCCTCAAAGAGAAACCTGATTGTTACCATGCCTCTGGACTGCTCTGTAAACCAAACCAGCATTTGGGAACAATCAAGGAATGTGCCTCAAAGTGATTGTGTTGTTTCACACCAAGCAGTTAACTTAAATGCAGCTGTAATACAGGTTTTGTTACCTAAGAATACTCTTCCATCTCTTGGATTCAAAATTATGTCTTGTACTACTCCCTTGAAGTAGTCTTACTCTAAAAGCTGATTTCATATAGACAATATGGTGGGTAGTTCATTAGTATAGCCAGTATTCGGTAGTCTGACCACAGTTTGTCTCGTGCTTTAGAAAATCGATTCATTGTAATTTTCACATTTTCCAGTCTTTTTAATGTCTGAATTTTTCATTTTCTTACACTGGAACCAGTATTTTTGCATGCAGAGTACTAAGACTATATTTTATTCCTCGTATTGAATGGAAGGCTATTGTTTTTCAGCTTACAGAACGATTTCTTTAAATGCTGTATGTTTTTTCTTAATGTTGTGGGATTTTAGTGTGTCACAGTTGCTAGGTTTTGCTTATTCATCTGCAGTTCTCAGCAGACATAAATTATCTCATTGGAGAAATATTCTATTTAATTGAAATTAACTGTTTGTTTAGTGGTCTAAAAGATCACTGTTCTTCGTGGCTAAGTTTTACACAACAATCATCATCAAAAAACATGCTTTTTCTTTTTTTGCCTCATTTTATCGGTATTATGACTCACAGGAAGGTATGCTGATGAGAGACAGCTTTATTCTGAATGAGAAATGAATATATATGTACATATATTTTCTTCTTCCCCACTTACTCCCTTCCTGTGGTTTGCTGCAAGTGAGAATGAGGGGCTAGGGTTGAATGAAGCTGGGATTTTAGTTACTAGAAGGTGAGGAAGGTTGTGATGGATTCCCTTTATATGTTAAGGGCAGATTTAGCCTTTAAGAGTTTCTTGATGTGAATCTTGTATGTGTATATAAATGTCTTCCATCCAGAGTTTCCAGTGTGGAAACACTGCTCTGTGTGTGTGGATGAGGCATTAATCATCTCTTTATTTAAACCCTTTTATTTTACTTTTTTGCGTATGTTTTCAAAACTTCCTATGTATGAAGTGTAATTCTGTACTTGTTAGCTCTGCAACTACACTTCACCCTCAAGCTGCTGTTGAAAAGTAGTAGCTAAAGGTCATGTGTATAAGCACTCTTCCATAAAGAGTTGACTGGATTTTCATATGAAAACAGCTCTAAATATTTACTAGCATTTATACAGCTCTGTATAGCTGAAGTGTTTCCCTGGAATAGATGAGGTAATTAAGAAAAGTTACGGTAAAATTACTTATGTCAAACAAAGCTGATGGGTGGCTCTGAATGTTGGCTTTTGTCTTGGAACTGTCATGAGTTTCTGGAGTTTTCCACCAAATATTACCCTTCCTCCACCCCTCCAATAGAAATTCTGTGTATTAGAGAATGTCAATTACTGATTTTGATAGCTCAATAAATGAGAGGGAAGAGGAAAAAAAAAAGGAAAGCTTAGATTGACACAAGTAACAAATATAGATTGTAATATGGCCTCTTGAGTTAATTCTTTATTATAAATGAAAAAATAGTGGAACAGGATGAAAATATTCTTACGAGTGAGTTGTAAGATTTCATCATTAAAGGATATGCCACAGCAGTCTCTTATTCCTGCTCAGAATATTCTTCTGACTTAAATTCAAAGTAGGAAATGTAATATTCTTGGATTAGTTTTTTAAGTGAAAGTGAAGTTTCAAAACAGATTTCTGAATGTTCATAGTATGTAGCACCTCTTCGAGAATAATAACTTTCTGTAAAATAATTTGGCATATAGGTGAATCACGTGAGTTGTTTTTAATTCCTGGATCAGTAGAACAACATATCTAGACTCTCAGCTTGAAAATACGTAATAAAATCAAAGTAGCAGGGAAATGGTTCTCCCTTTAAAGAGTCCTGAACTGTATGTCAATTAGGTAATGTTAAAAGTGGTTTTAGCCAAAAATTATTTCCAATCATTTTGAGAAATAAAGTACAAATGCATTTAGATTAATGAGATATTTGGTGATATTGTATCTCTCACATCTTCTGTCTGCATGTCACTGTTTAGAGACTACTTCCAATTTAAGTTTTAATTTTTATAAGGTATTTTGGGAGACTTTGCTCCTAAGTTCATTTCGTATATAGAATTTATATCTTAATTCAGACCAACAGTTGTTCTTCCATATTCCTTCCACCCCTGCTTTCTTTTGTCTGTCACCATCATCATTGGAGCTACTTATTCTGAAAAATTCTGAATGGGTTAGAAATTATAGCTAACTTTTACCAAATTTAAATCTTTACAGCAAAACTTGAGTTCCATTATTGAAAGGGTGGGAGAAGCTGGTGTTCCTGTAACAAATGAAATGTTAGAAACTACTATTTAGGATTTTGACTATTTGAATATGAACATATGAGCAAATTGCATATAACAAGACGACCAGACTATTTTGTAGGTTTAGGTTGGGTTTTTTTTTAGGTACAGTTGGCATTTGAAATACACAGTTCAGTCTGTCTATGAAATATTCTGATTATTTTCTTTTTCCTGGTCACTCTAAAGCACTGGAAGCATGTGGCTTTATTTGAAATAATATGAGGTTTAAGCAATCAGTTTGTGTACAGAGTTCATACGCTATTCTTTAGATTTTATTATACAATAAGATTCTCATTTTTACTTGCATAATTCAATCCTGATTTGTATTTCCTTTTCATAAAGAGTTTTCATTTGAAAGGTGACACAGGTTCACTTTTTCAGTAAATCCAAATCTGTAGTTGCTCAACTAAATTACGGATTTAAGTTAGTTTGAATTTCAACTGTTAGCCTGTTTTCTCACTTGACTCATTAGTATTGCAGAGTCAGTTGGTCACTATAAAGGTACAAACTGGCTGGTTGTGGTTTTGTTTTGTTTTCCCCCCTCCCATGTTTTTGGCTTTGCACATCAACAAAAATTTCCAAGTAGCTGTGTTATCTGCATCTGTGTGTCCTCTGCGTGTGCAAGTACAGGAACTTCCTGTTGTATTTTGGAACATTCCATGCGTCACACAAAGGGGACAACTTAACTTTCCTTTTTGGAGATGAAATGCAGAAGTAGAGAGTGGTAGTTGACTGCTGTATTCAAAGCTGAGTTTGTAAATAGGTAAGAAAAATGCAGCTGTTAGTTAAATTCAGCCTATCTTGCTAGGAAAATTTGTGAGAATTACCAAATAGGAAATGTACAAGACTGCTTTTTGAGTGTCACGTTGTGGAGTACAGCCATGTGTTGCTTTATTTCATTTGTGGTTAAAAATAACTTGTTTTGGTTTTTTTCAGCAAACAAGAGCATGACTCTTCAGACGAAACAAAAGAATTCAATAGAAGTCAAACTAAAAAAGTTGCATCAGCTGAAAAGAATGAAGAAAAGTCATCATTGTCAAATACAGAAAATGCTCCTAGTTTGGAACTCCCTGACAACAGCTCAAAGAATTCTTTGCATGGGAAAGGAGCATGTTGTGATTCATATAACAACAAACAATTAGTAGATGAGAAACAAAAATGTATTCATGGTGAAAGCGAGTTAAGAACTTGCCAAAGTTCAGATAATGTTATCTTGAATGAGCAGACTAAAGTGCATAGTTTGGATGTAACTGCGCTTTCAGCAATGAACCCAAGGGACTTAAAACTAACATTAGGTGAAGATGTTAGTTTTGAGCAGTTCTTGAGAAAAAGAGATGAACCTGAATCCATTAGTTCAGACATTAGTGAACAAGGTAGTATTCATTTGGAGCCTTTGACTCCATCAGAGGTACTAGAGCATGAAGCTACTGAAATCCTTCAAAAAGGTAATGTTCCACCTTCAGCAAAGAAAGCTGGACAACTCTCTGAACAAACAGATGAGACTTCTAAAGAAAGCAATCCCAACAGAATGGAAACAGTTGTACACAAGACAGATGAAAATGAAGCAAGCTGAAATTATGTTAATTTTATTGTTTGTTAAAAACAATGGTAAGAACACCATGGACCATTCCTGATGAGTGTGCTCATTTTCTAATTACTAAAAACAGAGAGGGGTGGGAGAGAGAAGAGATGCTGAAGTGAAGTCTTGCATATGAAGACAGCATGTATGTGTATGTGCAACTGATTTAACTAAATTTACAAAAGGTGATGTTCAGATACATCTTCCTGTCTCTTGGATGTGATGTATGATTGACATTTGAAAGGAGGAATAAATTCTAATTTTATAGTTTACTAGCCTGGGATAAGATGATTTGTTTGCCAAGAAAATATTTTTTTAAATCCTTCAGTGTGAATATCATTAAACAGTGGAACTTAGTATGGATTAACTTCTGATGCTAAAATGGAGCACACTTGCAATGATGGTTATTGGTCTGCTGATACTTTGGGTAAACCTAACCCATTGGACTTGATGTCACATTCCTGTCTGTAGAAGCATGTAAACAGAATTATGAGTCTGTGCACCTCTGTACAGGTGTAATCCTGCCAGGCTATAAGCTTACCTTAATAAACTTTCAGTGAAAGTGAAACTATTACAATAAAAATATATATTTGTGGGGTTTTCAGTGTGCAGGCTGTGCAGAAATACCTAACATAATTGTATAAAGTAGAACATAATGCTGAAAGTACTGTAGCTGTTAGGCTTTTATCGTTGTTTATTATGATTCTTAGCCTTAGACCCATAGGAATGGTCTGTAAGTCACACCAAAGTCCAGTTTAATGTAAAAATTGTTTTAAGCAAAATTAAGGAAAACCCCAGACTGGAAACATCAACTGGCTTGCGTTCTGCCATTTTGCAGCTGCTACTGGCAAACTGTTACAAAAAGGACACAAGGGCATATAAAGTGGAATTGTACAGTTCAATTTCAGGACTTTTTTTGTAGTCTAAATGGTGTACAGAAGGATGGCTGCTGATTTTCATTTAGTTTCTTTTGGTTTTGTTTTTGTTTTCTTTGTCTTCTAGTTAGCAGCTAGATGTAGGAATGCATCTGATTAACAGTAGCTTGCTCTTATGACTTCATTGCTCCATTTGAAACATTCAGAATGTGCTTTTGACTTACAGTTTTGTTTTTAATGAATGCTAAATGTTTTGAACAGCTGTTAAAGCACTGCTGTAAATTATTACTTTTTGAGTAAATATTTGCAACAAAATTTTGTCTTTGTGCATAATTTGATGCTCAGCTTGAAACTTTGTGCAGAGTCTTCTCACCTTTATAAAAAAAGTTTTAGTGATGGTTCCCCAAATTTATTTCATTTTAACATTGTGAATTTGAGACTTATGGTGGTGTTTTTGTTGGGGGGGGGGGGGGGGGGGGGGGGGGAAGAGGTACTGTTGCTTTAGAACTAAATGAGTAAGCACCTATGCATAAACGTATTTTTAAGATGTGCTTTTTCAGATTAAATACAGATACTTTTCTGGGTTGTCAGCACGCAATTGAAGCCTGCTCTGTCCTCTTGGGTTAACTGGGCTCAGCTGCTAAATGAGTCTAAGCAATAGTATCAAAATTTAGAGACCATTGCAGCTTATTGGAGGAGTTGGACCCTCTGAGTAAACCACATCAATCTCAACATCTCAAGAACTGTTTCATACTCTGAAGAGCTATATGATGTAAATTTTGAATTGCATCTTAATTTTCATCCATGCAGGTTTAGAAGACTTTTAAAAAGAAAAATGGAACAGTTTACCTAGTCACAGCTCTTCAAGACCTGCCACTTGAAGAACTTCAAACAACAAAACACGTGAAAAGCCTGACAGCAATTAAGTTGCAGTATTCTTTTCTTCTTAGTTGTTTGGGAATTTTGTTGGGTTTAGTGATCAAGTTAGTAACTTGAGATAGGATTAACCAGACTGATGTCTTTATGCCTGTACATCTGTATAAAACACAACATCAGAATGAGGACAGTTTAAAGGACTTAATCAGCTATGGAACTTGGTGTGTATGTTACTGGTGGAGTCCCTGAATGGGTCTGTTTGAATCCAGAGAAATCTCAGTAGTATTTTTTTCTATGATTAATGATCTTCCGTGAAAATGATATATTTTCAATAGTGCTTTGATATGTAGTTTTGGAAAAGATTAAGTTCATCTGGAACCAGTTGTATAATACTTACAAATTTCTCAAATCTTTAATTAGGCAAGTAAACTTTTCAAACATTTACTATTTTAATAATAAGAATTTGGCCACATACTGTTGAGAAAAGTTGGAAAATAAAACTTGGATTTAAAAATCGCATGTTTGGCAGAAGTGTATATATTTTTATTTTCAGATACTTAATATATAAAGCATTGTTTGTTTTAAATAATGTAGAGAATGCTTTTGTACAAAAGGAAATGTTAAATATAAAACACCTTTCCAAAGGAAGAGGTGAGCTAGCACTACATTGTTCTAGCAAGACCATCAGATCTCTTTAAATGGATAAGTTGATTCATGAAAACAGTGGCATGGAATTTTTGCGAAGGATAGAAACTAAAATTCATTACAATTTTTCCTAAATCAGGTAATTAATTTGCTGACTGCATAATTATGAAGATTAATGTCTATCGTGTTATGTGGAAGGTTTCTGGGAGACAAGTTGAATTGGTACTTCTGGAGGAAGTGACTCCAGAGGATCAAGTTACATCAAATGCATTTTGAAATATTTGAATGTGACTATGCATGATTCAGGTTTTTGTTCATTTCTGAGTAATTTCAAAGTCTTTTTTCCATCCAGTATTTCTTATTCTGTGCCACCTCTGGTTTTGTACTTGGGGAGACATTTTACTTCAAGTTTTCATTGCCTTATAAAAAAAAGCCAGCCCAGTAACTGAAAGTTATTTGTATCCATACTAGATCCACCATCTCCTTCCATCTCAAAAGATTAACCATATTTGCTTGAATAGTTATTGCAGATGGTTTAATGTTTATTTTTAAGGAAATCGCGTGCTATGCATATGCTATTGTTGTTATTTGCATTTAAGCAAAAACTTGACATTATTAGCTTATGGTCAATGAGCCTTCAGTCACTTGGAGCTTCCTCAAGTGCAGCCAATGTCTTAGTTTGCATTGTGCAGTTTGGGAGGCAAACTGGCTTACTGTGGTTCAGATTTCCTTTAACAGAATGGATGAGTAATCCCAGGAAAAAAGAAAAATGCATCAAATTATAGCCCATACTGAGTTCTAGGTATTGACTGATGTATTTTAAACAAGAAAATTCTCATGACAAAACCGTGTCCACTTTTTTTTCCTGGAAATGGGGAAAGAGAGAAGAACCCTGGTTTTAAATCAGGTTTTATGGTGCTTTACTGCTGGAAGGCATTAGGAACTGAAGGTCAGGGTAAAGAATCTTGAGTAAGGCTTGGTATTCTGCAGAACCTTACAAGATCTTGGAGCTTTTCTGCAAACATTAAGCATTGTCATTTATATGCTGACATGTGGAAAAGGAGGGGGGGAGTTACGCTGTAGGATATACTGATATTCCACCAAAGACTGGCCATAGGCTGTCACAGTAGAATTTTGTTAGAGACTGTTAAGAAACTTCTGTGTAGGGCAGGTTTTTCTGCCCAATTGTTCTCTTTTCGGTTTTATTACCGTTTGATTTTTTTTGAGGCTTGTGAGCTTATTTTGTCTAGTTGCATCCTGTATTTTTTGATAAATGCTTAATATGCCTCTAATAAAAAAGAAACAATTGGTAAGTATATGATAACTTTGATTTTTGCTTTTAATAAAATGTTTACATCAGTTTTAATGTAGCTCAAAAGGACAGTTCTCGGTTCTTAGACGAAGCCAGGCATATATCTCCTTTGAACATTACATTTTAATGCATAATTTTTGCTGTATTTTTTTCCCCACTAATTCAGTGCTAAGAGGGAAAGTATGTGTACTGGTATTTCACATCAATTTAGACACTGTGCAGTCCTCTGCTATGTTCCCTTGAGTTTTGGCTCACTGCTCTGTCTAAGACAATTAAAACTTTGTGTTCAGTCATTTCATGGACCCAAAGTAACCATCTTAGGTTGGTGTCTCCTGTATTGCACCAGATTTAAAAAATAAAAGGTGGGAAATATTCCACTCTGAAAGCCTGTACTTTGAGGGAGTTTAATGTAGTCGCTATGCCTGTAAGGTGCTATAAAGCTAATGTATTTCATGATGTAAAATGTGCTGGTTTTGTTGAGGGTGTTTTTTACTGTTCAAACTATTATGTCAGAGAGGCTGAGGTTTTTTGTGACTACCACAGGGATAACTGATATTACATGTGTATCTGCTTTTAAATTTGGGCAAGTTTAGCTTCATCTTAAATGCTCAAAGTACATGTATGGGCTATATCACACAATTTAAAATAGGGTTAATTCCATGATCAAAAAGCTTTGGCTTGTCAGCAACCAGTTCTCCATTTTATAGCAATTTTAAAGTAGCATTGCTGAATGAATAAAAATAATTCAGATTTTATTTCACTAAACTCTCAATATTAGGCATTTAAATCAAAAGAGCTGTTTTCTCCAAAAGTTGTAGTGAATGGGGTAACATATAGTGGTAAGAACATTGTCTCATACTGATAATACGGTAGCCTTGAAAAGGCAACCTTCGTATGTTTTGCTCATAGATAGTATAATTAATATCCTTTTGACTAAAGGAAAGTAACGTGCTGGTCTGTTTCTTACTTAAAACTTTCTCATTGTGATACTGTCATACACTAGCAACAAACTGAGGGCCTTGCTTTCTTCTAAGGCTGTAGAAGTGGAACACTGACTACTTAAAAGTTTTAAATTGCATATATTTGAATTACCTGTGTTTGTTGTCTGAAATGATTGGATTTTGTTTACCAGCTTCTCAGGTTTTCAGCTGAATTCAGCTGAGACTTGTGCCTTTCCACTAAATCTTCCTTAGTGGAAAGCCTTCTGCAAGGCCTCACTTCCTCTTTGGGCTAGCAAGTTGATGGCACGTATTATAATTTTCCTGGGATATTTAGTGAAACACAGTGTTATTTGTTAGTTATCATTTAAATAGCTGCTTTTTCCCTCTCACAAGCCTTTGTATCTTGTAATGTCTTTTCTTGGTGGTGGGTGTATAATCAACTTTTAAGGTGTTGGCTCATGATGGAAAGCAAGAGAGAGTTCAGATTTTTAATCATGAATAGTAGTGTGCAACATGCAGGACAAGTTGGTGGTTAACCTGCTTTATCTCGTAAAGTGAAGTTTTTCTTACTGGTGCCTAAAATTGTAACTAGAGGAACCAGAGCAGTGGGCACATCCAACTGCAGTGGCTCTGGAAGATGTTGAAAAGCTTTAGATACCCATATCAGATCAGAATTCCCAAAAGGAGCCTAAGGCAACACATTCATGCTAGGGAAGCTTTTCTTCTGTATATGTGACTTCCACTGTATTTTCTTTCCCAGATAACATATATTGGATGCCCTCTTGAGACTATAGGAAGGCCACTTACAATAGAGGAGATGAGTGCTTGTATGATCTTCCTTGATGAAACCAAAAAGAAGCTCTTGACATGTGGCATGTATGCTGTTTTGTATTAATATAATAAGATATGTCTTAGTGTTGAGCAGTTGCATGTTATTCATCTTCGCTAAATAATGAGGTTCTGTCAGTTCTTCTGAGTCTCTTAACATTACTATTTAAAATAAACATCCTTTCAAGTGCAGCTTGTCACTTTTCAGTGACCTTTGTCTGACATAGCAGGCTAATAATCACCACAGCAGGAAGGTGTCAAGGCAGGCTGTCTCATCATCTCTTTTTAGGCTGATAATGACTTAGCCTTTCTTGAGGATAACCTATGAAGTTTCTTCAGGTTTGTTATAAGAGAAACTTCAGTGCACAGAACTCGCTATCAGTTTAATTTAGTGAGACAAATCTAATCAAGTGGAGCATACTTCTTAATACCTTAAAACTTATTTCTGTTTAATATGGGAAATCCATTGTCTTCTGGGTTCCTCAGCAGGCAGTCTTGATGATGTAACAGGAAATGAAAGTACAACCTGTGTTTAAAATACAGTAAGCACACCAAAGTCTTGCCTAGCAAAAGTAATGCAAGTTACTTGTGGATGGGAATGTGTAAAAATAATCCACTCTGTCCAGAAGTGTTCTCAGGCTCTTTCAGTAGAATGAAAGATAAAGCTTCCTCCCTTCCCTTTCTAATTGTTTCCCTTAGCATATTTGAAATAG